CTGTTTTGACTCTTGACTGAAATGAGAGCTGAAGAAGAGAAGGAGGCAGTTGCTTGTATTCTTGGAGTTTTAGTTTCCCAGTTTGGAGCCGTAACTGGAATCATTATTAGGTTACCCAAAATTCTCAGTTTTCTTGAGATCCTGGCACTTAGAAAAAAGATAGTAAGTGCTTTAACAAGCCTAGAGGCAGTGCTGACCGTGGCTTCAGCCTGCAGGGCAGCTCTTTTACAGTGTCTTGGGAGCCACATTGAAGAGCCAGAAGGTTTAGGAGGGCAAGTACTGCTGAGCATACCAGTGAGAAGATCTTTGATGGAGCGCTTCTTCTGACTTTGTAGGCTGGATACTTTTTATAACATTTTAAAGCCTGGGTCAGATAAGAGCTAGTGCTGACAGAGAGAATCATCACACTTGCAGCATACCAGTACCACCGTTGGAAATCCAGGCTTCTCAGGGTACTCAGACCTTCATTGTTGATCATCCTTCACATAATTCCAGCACTTCTTGCCCCCCCACCACCAAAAAAAGTCATAGTAGTAATTGGAACCTTATATTTCATCAGAGTCACTGCTGACATTAGAGTCAAAATCTGTATGACTGGAAAATTAATCTTGCAAAACACTATAAGGAACTGGAAGGCCCATTTACATCTATACTAACCCTGTCCGTGATTGTAGGTGAGCTCTTATGTTGGACTCAAATGGTCTCCAGCTCACACCAGCCCTTTCTTTATTCTGTTACCAGATCTCTTGTGCTTGCTTCTGGCGTACTGCAGGGCCAGGCCAGTCCTTCCAAGCCCTGGGCTTGTGAAGGTGGGCTTACTTACCTGGAGGCTTACTTACCTGGATATTTACCTGCCTCCCCTGCCACCTTCTAGCCATGTTCCTGGATACTCCTGCGTGTGAGTCTGGCTGTCTGCTCTCTGTGAAGGACCATTGCTGGGAGGAAGAGTGGGATTTGAAAAGAAGTCTAAATGGTGTTTTACTTGATTTGCCAAATTGCTTTGTCAGTAGACTAAAGAGAAACAGAGCTCTTGTGTGGAGGAGCAAGAGTTTCTGTGCTCTCTTGAAACCAGCCTCCTGACTCCCAGTGGGGCCATCTTTGTTCTCCTAAGGAGGTAGGTGGCAAGTCAGGTTCAAGAACAGGTATTTCAGGGAATGTGCCTGTGCCTGTTAAATGTTTCTTGACAGTGTGATAGTACCTGACATTCTTCATGGGTTTTTAGAATCAGGAAATGGAGAAGACTGAGGGCTTTGGGCTGAGGGGATAGGAACAGCAAGTAAAGACAGGACTTGCAGGCTTCCACAGGCAGTTTTTATTTGACAAGGATGCACCTGTTTTTATTTGGTAAGGAATGGAAAGAGGTCAGAGTGGATAGTATGTAGGGAACACAGAAGTTGATTATGACTGTGGGTAAATTGTCTACCCTTGTGAGCTGTTCTCATTCATGGCCTGTAATGATACACAACCTACCTTATCAGCTGTTGGGGGAGGTTCAATGGAATAACCCAGAGACCTATCTCCTGTCCTTTTGCTTAGAGAATGCTGAACTAGAAGCTGTGTCATTAGCAAGCTCAGTGCATTTGATAAAAAATGATCACATTTTTAAAACCTCAGTATTCAGGAGGCATTACTCTGCTTAATTTTTTCCCCCTCAATGTGTGAGTCTTTTTTAAAACTCTCTTTTAGATTTAGTGTTCCAATAACATCAAATAACCTGGTACCTTGTCCTGCCTACCTCGTTGAGTAGTCAGGAGGGTCCAATAATGATAATGAATGTGAATGTGATGAAAACCTTGTGTGGATGTGGAAGATAGTGGTGATGCTGCTGTGGCTGGAAATGGCTGACACAGAGAGTAGCATCTATGTTAGGGCCTGGTAAAATGGCAGCTATTTTTGTCAACTTTTAAAAATTATTAGGTGGGGGCCCGGGGATTTAGCTCAGTGGTTCTGCCTGCCGCCTGCTTTGCAAGTGCAAAGACCTCAGTTCGATCCCTGGTACCAAAAAAAAAAAAAAAAAAAAAAAAAAAAAA